AGGAAACATCAAAATTCTATAACATCATCAATTTTCCAAGCTTGTTGTTGGCTAATCCCAGCCTCATCTCCTACAACTTCCTACTCCTCCCTTTAAAAAACCCAACTCTCATAAACTCACTACTCCAACCCCAAAACTCCAATCCCAGAATTTCACATTCCCATAAAAGCTCAAAAGTTTCAATCTTTTTTGCAACCCAATTTTGCAATACTTCAATCTTTACATCCCAGAAGGAAAAGGTCATCTCCAGATTTGTTAGTGTACCTTGAATGGTTCTAAGTGAGAGAGAAAATGGCGATACTGAACGGCTAGGATGGATAAGACTGCAAGCGCCATCAGAATCCACAGTGGTGGCGCTGCGCAGCAGATGACTCTGTTAAATCATCACCTTCCAAATCCAACATTCGTCTCCTCCGCACAAGCTACTGAACATAAGTGAAAAAAGGGAAATGTAGAGAAAGAAAGAGAGGACAGAAATAATGAAGTGAAAGGGGAAGGGAAGATAAAGAGGAAGATAAGGGCATGGAGAGGAACAATACTCTACTCAAAGGAAGAGTAAGAGTTCCTACTCAAAAATGTTCATTGCCGATTCATAGAACTTCGTGTTTATGATCAGAACTGAACAAACATTCGTCTCACCACGCCGTTACAGACATAAAGGTGCCTTCGATTGATATGTCGAGATGCCCACCGCGTTCTGGAAGGCTCGGTGTGTGCAGGTTATTCAAGCTGCATATTGGGATAGAAATTGTGGCTAAGCAAAGGCAAAAAAGGGAATGGTGATATCGATGAAAAAAGGGACGTCGTTCCATAAATCTTCATCTTTTTTTGGGTCAAAATGATATTATTTTTTATATCCTAATTTTGAATTTATAATTAGCAAAGATTTCTAAATAATACATGTTTTTATTATTTTTTTGTCCACTTGGCTAAAATTTGGCCTTCAATTAACAAGGAGTGTGCTCTGTTGCTGCCACATCAGCATTTAACAGAAAAGTTGACGACTGTCTGACATTGCAATAAATTTGTAAATTAAGGTATGACATTGCAATGTTTTAAATATGAGGTATGATATTGTGATTCGACTAATCGTTGAGGTAGTTTTGTGTAATTTACCCAAAATTAACACAAAACATTGACGTGGCTTAATCGTAACCGTTCAAATAGGAGGAGAGGGAAAGGGAGAGAGGTTAGGAGGGAAGAGAATCCTACTCCTTAGTATGTCACCACGTATTCACACTAGAATAAAAAGGAGTAAATTGTAGCAATAGTCCCTCAACTTTTATCAAATTAGAGCAATGATCAATATTTGCCCCTTGATCTAGCCTCACGTGCATGACAGCGACTCATTTTGATGGAAGTTCTAACGAAGTTGATGAAAATGATAGTTGTAGGTTTTGATGAGTTGAGAGATCAATGGTTAGGGGTGGGCACTGGAACCGAAAACCGAAATCAAATCAAGAACCAAATCGAACCGCACCGAACAATTTGATTTTGTGGTTTTGAAATGGTTTCAGTTTGAAACCAAACCGTAATGTAGGAAAACGGTTTGGTTTCAGTTTTAGATTTTGAAAACTGCACCAAAACCAAATTGCACCACAAATATAAAAAGAACCTTTAATTGAATAACTATATTAGATGTTAGGGAAGTGTTATTGGCACTCCAAAAATCTTATTCTACATTCATCGGAAGTGTATTTTTCTTTCCTAATATAAAAAGTTTGGAGTGTATAATGAAATTTTTGGAGTGCTAATAACAATTCCCTATATTTTATGTTTTAATTAGGTGTTTGTTACACTCCATACATTTAATTAGTTATTTCTTGCTCAGTGCTTCTCTCGATCTCATTTAGCATTGGGGACAAAACATTTTTCATAATACTGGTTCTTGTGTATGCATGTAAATCAAAATTAGATATGTATGTTTTTTGTCCTCAATTGCTCTATTTGGGCGATTATTACTTTTCTTAGGTGCCGATGGCAGGTTCTGGGTAAGGTATCGAAGGCTTCAATAATGGTTTTTTTGGGTGATGAATGTGAAATGGTAATGGATATTGACTAGGGTACCTTAATTTGTAAAAATTGGTTTATTTTGGTTGAAAATATTTTGGTATAAAATGATAGAAGTGTATCAATTTATTTCATTGTTATTTACTCAAACTCTATCTGATTTGGTTAGGCATTTTCTAATACTTGCAGACTTTGCCTATCTGATTTGGTTTCATTTCGGTTTTGGCTTCAAAACCGCACCAAATTGAATTACAAAAAATGAGATTTCGGTTTCACTTAAAACTGCACCGACCTAAACCGTGACCATCCCTACCAATGATAATAGATTTTTAATTAATTAATCATTGTTTTAATTAGGTTAAAGTTAATGAACAATTACTACAATTTACTCAATAAAAAAACAAGTTATGTACAAGAAGGCCTTGGGCAGCGTGCTTGGAGCGGGAGACTACAAGTTTCAATTTGAACTTCACTTGAACGGCCAAAAAGTACTTTAAAGTTCAAATAAACGAAAAAAAAATTGCACGCGAGGCTTTGGCTACCATCCACTCCCTTACCGTTGGGAAACGTATATCTGTTCAAGGCGACGGCAGGCATCCACTCCCCGGCTGTTGGATTTTTCACTCCTCTCAACTCTCAGATCATTCACTCCCGAGTTCCTCCATTGCCGATCCGCAGGTAAGCTTGACGTTTAACCCAAATTTCCGCGACTGTCGGAATTTGTGATATTAGGGATCTGGGGGTTTTAAGTTTTAACTTTCAATTTGAAGGCTTTTTTATATTTGTTTTGGTTTTTGAAGTAATTTTAAATTTTGGAGTACTAGTGAGTTAGTGAGTGAGTGAGGATGGCGGATAGTGGAATAGAGATAGAGAAAGTAGAGTGGTTGGATCCAGAGATGGAGTTTCTGGCATCGAAGCGAGAGACGGGGAATGAGTGGGAGCTCTTTAAGGAGAATGTTAGGCCCTTGAAGAGAGGCCGCAAAGTCGCCATCTTAAACGAAGCTCTCAAAGTTCACAACGACAATCAACTCAAGATGTCCCTCCTTGACCAAAGAAGGTTTTTTTTCCTCCAAACCTTCATCTGCATTCGCCTTCTCGATTTTTGTGTGCTGTGCCTTTTTAATCTTTAATTCTTTGAATTTCTTTTGGATTTAACTCTCACAAGGCTGTTGATTCAAGCGATTGACGAGTATAAAGGCGAGGATCCTCTCCACCCATGGCTTGAGTGAGTACTGATTACTTTCTTCTCTCTGATTTCAGTTTTACCACTGTTTTCATTTCGATCTTTCCATGAATGGGTTTCTTGTCAATTTTTGTTATTGTTATTGTTGGAGACCTAGTTACTATCCTTTATATACCCTTCAATTTTCTCCGTGTATCTCTTAAAGGTGTATCAAGTGGGTTCAGGAAGCATTTCCACCTGGTGGAGATTCCTCGGGGTTGGTGGTGATATACGAGCAATGCGTACGTACATTTTGGCATTCAGACCGTTACAAGGATGATCTCCGCTATCTCAAAGTCTGGTTGGAATATGTGGGTTCTTTTTCTTTCCCATTATTCATATCTAAGATTAGTTTGATTTTAGCTCTGGACGTCTAATTCTAAGTGCCAGTTTCAGATCCTCAATTGTCTGATACTGTAATGTGTGAATGAAATGGTTCCGCAGGCTGAAAATTGTGTAGATGCTCAAGTCATATACAGTTTTCTTGATGCAAATGAAATCGGGAAGACACATGCGGTTTTCTACATCTCGCGCCGGCCAAGGCATGGCCACACGCGCAGCATGTGCGGTCCGTGTGACTAACGACATTAGGAATATTCCGTTAAAACCTTAACAGAAATTAACGGCATTACCAAAAGCCATTAGAATATTTCGTCAGAGTTGACAAAATATTCTGTCATCTTCTTCAGTCATCTTCGCCGGTCGCCGCCGTCTGGTTCACCAGAATCTGGAAAAAGTCTCCGATTTCTGGGTAAAATTTCAAACCTTCATATCTTCTTTATTTCTCAACCATTTTTCACAAATTTTATATGGAAATGAAGCTTATGAAGAGAAGAACACGATTGAAAATGGCTTGAAAGACACTGTCGAAACTTTGACTTCTCGAAACCTTGTGTTTCAAGGTTGTTTCTCCTTCAAACCTTCACCAGAGACCTCGGGGAGTTGAGTGGAGGCCTTTAGACTTTCTAAAAACTTGTAACTCGCTCGTACCTCATCGGGAAAAACTGAGTCGAGTTAGACCTTCTGAGTTTGACGTCCAAAACTCGGTCAAACCACGATCCAAGGGTATGGTTGTGTTCGTGGTGGTGAGACGAATTCGAAGGTGTGGTTTTAAGGTCACGTTAATGAGGTTTGAGGGTGGTTCATCCTTGTTGCAGAGAGAAAGAGAGAAAAAAGAGAGTGAGAGTTGCTTTCTGATTGGTGAGGTAAGAGAGGGAAGAGATGTGAGTGGTGGAGAGGGATTGGAGGGATTTGATTGGTGAAGGGAACTGGATCCACCAATTTAGGAAGGGATTGGTGAATTTTGTACAATTTTTAATGTACAAAATCTGCCTCCCTACAGTGTTTCAAGCACTAATAAATTTGCACGCGGGTGTAAAAAAATACCCGTAATTAACGTACTTTAACGGAGCATAACTTCTTCGTTATAGATCCGATTCGATTCTAACACGCACTCATGAGTTCGTAACAACAAGTACTAATTTAGTACAAAACTAGGAAAATGGAACTGAAAGTCGAAAACCACGTCCACGTCAGATTCCATTTTTGTCCAAAAAGGGGTAAAATCATCAACTTACACCAACGGAAAAGAAATTACAGTGAAAAGTAGGGACGGGTCGTCACAATCTACCCCCCTTAAGAAAATTTCATCCCCAAAATTTAAAATCATTTTGTTACACAAAATTCGATAATAGGGAAAATAAAATATATGTACATAATGAAGAAATCAAGTCGAAGTGGTTGTACAAAAAGGGAAAATGCTGCTCCGTCGCGATTCGGAGTGCAATAATTCCTTTTTCATGCCTCAAACTCATACTTTCCTTCTTCTTCAGTACAATAATATAATATAATAGTTTTCCCAAAAATAGAATGTCAAAAATATTTATATGTACTAATGTCCCGTTGAGAATACATATATATAACAACATAAGGTTTAGAGTAGTTGTACTAATAGTAAAACCAAACACATGATTTTTCTACTACGCTCCTGAGTCGCGTACTTCGAAAGTAAGTACATAATATCCTTGGGTTGAACCCAAGTAATAAATAGGTAAAATACAACAAACACATAAGTAAGTACTAACGTAAAAGGACCTACCTATTTACTTGCTTAACAAATCCAACGAATAAGTCCTTGATATTACGGTTTGTAGTCCGCGATATCGACAACTCACTGTTGTCATGATAAGTAAGTAAATAATTCCTGAGGGTGCACTATTACCGTCATGCCCTCATTGGGAAATACATAAACAATGTCTAGTCAAGCCTCTACCGTGCTCACGCACTACCCCCTTAGGCAACAATAGCAATAAAATAATTCTTTATTGTGAACTCTCACAATTGAACACTTGTTCGTAAAACTCCTCTGTCAAACAAGTGCTAAGCAAAGAATCTCCAAAATATGTCTCAACAGTGGCATAACCAAGACCAAAAATTGTAACTGTAGTTAAAGCAGTTTTAACATAAATAAATGTCTAATACGATCATGCTACCACTACAGAGCAGATAAACGTAACACGCCATGAAGGTCTGAGTAAAACATTTAGACTAGCCGTTAGTCTGAGGGAGAAATATAGTCGGTGACACAAATCTTACTACACATGGCCTTTAAGAAGGCTTCCCAAAAATTTGAAAGCAAAACACGCATCTCGATGAGATACCACAGTGACGTACCTGCCACGTAAACAACCCATGTAGTTCGCAATGCCTTAGTAAGCAAATTCATAGTGAAGTTCTCCTGACAGTGTATCCGCTTCAAGGCAATTCGAAGTGTAGTAGGGTAGACACGTACCCAAGGTTGACTAGAATGCCTTTCACTACAAAGGGGTAAAAATGGAATTACTGTCAAAGTTGGTATTGATTGAAATGTCAGAAGACCCAATAGGTTCAAGATTGGGCAATTTTACCAAGAGGTGTAAAATGTTGTCCATTTGGACCAACAGAACGCGAATTGACTCATCAAGTCAATCGATAATCATCGTACATCACCAAAATCTCCACATGCACAAGAAACTCGTACTATGAGCGTATAGTGATATTTTCCTATATCTACTCAGATACAGGAAATGATTATAACTACTCGAATGATTCTTAATTATTTGTAAGTATCGTCAACTTGATATTCGTGAATCCCGACTAAAATGGGATAAGACAAGCTAAAGACGTTTAAGGGTAGAGATGTCTTTTGTTGTTGTAGCAGTAAATACGTTTGCATAACCGAGGTAATACATGATAGTGCAATCGTAGACGTTGGTTTAGTTCTTCCAACATTGCTGGCAGAAATTTAGCTCTTTCTCAACAAAAGTGTACTCGAGAAATTTGTGAGGTTGGTGAAGATTTTGAACACGTTTCTCCACAAAGAAGTGTCATCCAGCTTTCAAAGATGACTGTTGACTTTAGGTCATGAATGAGGTGGTTCGTTTCGAGCGGTTTTGACCGTTGAAAAATAAAAGCGATACTTCGTCATGCTGTCTCTGCACAGCTGAAAACATCCAAAGAACACGTCACACTGGATTTCGAAATGATTAGAGTCACCAAGAGGTGTAAAACAGAGGTAAGGTGAGACAATGCTTCAGTTGTCAAAAACTTTACTCATATTCAACAACCCAAACTAAATTAACTTTCCTCAGTCGTAAGTGAGGAAAGACACTGCAGCCGAAAAGATCGCCAATAGTTTGTCGATAATCAACAAGATTAAAGATATCTTAGTTTCACAACGCTTTGCAAGAATTTCAACATTCTTTCGCTAAACCTTTCTTGGAAAAAAGGAAAAATGTCGTTTCCAAGAAAGTACCAACTTAACAATGATTATTTGAGAAAATGGTATAAGGTTGACTAACAGTGCTTAGAGAATTTGGTCTCACTGCCGAAGTAGATGAGAAAGTCGTCGAAAAGACTACTATGAATTCGTCAGGCTACGGAAGAAAACTTGAGTTACAAAGGTTAGTCAACTTGACCATCAACTCGAAATAGGGTTTAAACTGTTTTCAATCGTCACCCGATTAAGTCGTTACAATCTAGGTACGATCCTAAGGTTCAACCTTTCGCCTTTGCAAATAGGTTTGAGGTTCCCAAGATAAAGTGTTTAGTCCCTAGTTGGGTAAATTCCTAATTGGTAAACTTTGTAACCGAGTTTCTCAACGACGTAAGAAACGTTCAATATGAAGCAAGGAAAATTGGTGTAATACTAGGAAGTGGGTCGATGATGTACTTCATTTCACAATTTGGTGATATCTCAAGTAAAATTTTGGAATATGACGCCAAAGGTATACGTCCTCGAAACGTACTATACTACTAACCAACTCTACGACACGAACTAAAAGGTCTTGAAACTCAAATCACTTTAACAACGAGATATTATCTCGTACCTCGATTCTACCGTCTACTTGTGGAAGTGATCGAGATGTGGCTAGTCGAAGAGGTTTTGTTTACCTAGGTAGGTGACCTAGGTAGGTGATAAGATAAAAACAATCATGAGTTTACTATCCTAATACAAAGCTTGTTCCTAAGCTTTCACGATCCTAGTTTATTCGGCTCAAGTAGCCACTGTAAATCAGTCTATCAGTAGCACCGCTAATTAACGGGCTTAAGATATTTTAATATTGTTCGTTACCATGAAACTGTGAATTAGCATTCTGGCATAAAGGTATCATTCCCAGATACTAAAACATGTGTCCGGTATCAGAAATCATACCACCGAATGTTGGTCAACGATTTCTGGATATCATACATCATTGTCAATTAGTAGCGTCACCGTAGGCTGATTATGGGTTAGAGCCCGTTCGGGTAAAAAGCTTCAGGTGACTGGAAAAGAACTGGTTAAGTGAAGTAGTTTGTTGATTCTAGGAGGATTTGGTACTTTTAAGATTTCTGCTACTCCTAGGATATGATAACTCATACTCGAAACCCTATACTCACCTAAAAGAAGAGTACACATCGAAAGGAAAATCTGGGAATTAGCATTGGTTGGAAAGTCCTATGGCTGGAAAAGATCTTCCAAAAGATCTACTTCGAAAATGACTTTATTGAGAGTCGATCTTCCTCCTGAAGATCCAGCATGAACACCAGTACATTTGAAGATATTAGTGCTAACAGGGACCAAAAGTGATTGCCCTTCATACGATCTTCTGTATACCACTTTAGCACCAAGTTGTCGCTTCAGACATTTCTAGAATCTTGATGAAGTAACCTTCGCAGGGATTCTAAGAGAGGGTAAACTAATAGGTGCTACCAAAGAAACAAAACCATTTATGGTTTCCTATCTCAAAGGGTTGGTAAAAACGGTGGGAAAAGCAATATGATTGATTGGTAAGTCCTCGATGAAACTCAACTCTTGATGCATTAGCCCGGCTACGAGGTTAGTAACTTGTTTCCTAAAATGGAAATTCCTTGGTAGGGGGCTCATTGTTTTAAGTCTAGGGGTGATTGCCAAAACGATTTTCTAAAATGACGATAAGTCGTTTAAAGTACCCAAACTTAGGGAAAGTTAACACGTTTTTCATGCTCAACGAGGTGGCAAGATTCGGAAATTAGGTTCAAGAACCAAGAATGCTTACATCACGCGTGTGATGAATGCAAAACTGATCAAACTTATGCTCTGATACCAAACTGACACACCCCGACCCGAAATATCCACTAGAACTCCGAATCGAGCTGTGTGCTGGCCGACACCTGGAAGGTGACGAAGCCATAAAGTGTAGTGATGTGGAAAATATAAATAAATTTAAACCTAAAAGTGCCTAATCAAAAGAGTGCGTGGGTGAGCGGGATTGAACCTATTTCACACGTGATGTTAGAGCATAAGACAGTATAGTAAATAGGATGAGAGTTATACCACTGAAGATAACCATCTCCTGAGATTTTCCAGAGTCCTCGTTTATATAAACACGACTACTAAACCTAGAGGGTCGAAAAACAAAGTTGAGTGGGTCAGCAAAACAATACTTGTAAGAAAACCTTTACTTTCGAACATACTAACCCCTCACTATAAAACAAGTATAGTTTCCTTAAGATCATACTACATATAAGTATGAAGATTTAATGTGTTGATGCACAAAATCAGTGAGGACTTTAGTATAACAGAAAGTGTGAAGTTTGTGACTTTCACTCGATTGCTCCGGTCACTAGTGTGGATAAGTATGTAAATGGATAGGGACAGGGAAGCAAACACAAGATGTATATGGTTCACCCATATTGGTTATGTCCATGGAGTAGAGAAGTTCTCATTAATTGTGAAGGGTTTACACAAGTACATAGGTTCAAG